TTTTAAATCACATTTTCACTAGACAAAAACAAATTCTAAGTTTCTAAATTATGGACACTAAAGTTCAATCTTTCACTAAATGAGAGAATCAGAAGAAATTTGTGAAATATATCAATGGATATACATAAGACACGTATACTAAAAGATTAAAATTAATGTAATAATCCTTAATGATTCAAAAGAAATGGTGAAATATGTTCCCAATGAATTCTAATGTGGAAGTTTCAAAATTACATACTTGTATCGTGTACATGGTATATAACAAATTAGAAGTATCTAAAAATATAAGTTTGATTTTATTTTTTATTTTTTATAAAATATAATTTATATATGTTTAAAATATTTATGTACATACATACACACATATTTGAAAATTTTATGGGCCCTACTGGAACAAAGGGCCCTGGGCGCATGCCCGCCCATGCCCCAGGACCGGCCCTGCCCTAAACCCTAACTCTAGACTTTAAGTCTAAAGAGTATGACATTTTTGTCCACACACAATATATTAGTGTAATTTAACTTAGGGAGATAAAACATGAACTCGTATTTCTACTTTACTCATGTTATACTCCTATTTTAGTTCATTTTTATCTTGGGAAAACTATCAAATAAGCCCCGTACTATACCGAAAAAGTCGATTAGACCCTCGTACTTTACAAACACTCAATTAAGTCCTCAAACTATTAAAAAACGTTCAATTAAGCCCTTTCGGTCGGTAAGTAACCGGTTTCCCGGTTAAATGTAACCCGTTTCTCGACAGCCGCCGTTGCTGGGGTTCGAGCACATCGTCGCCGTCGTCGCCATTTAACCGAGAAACCGGTTACTGACCGACCAAAAGGGCTTAATTGAACGTTTTTTAATAGTTCGAGGACTTAATTGAGTGTTTGTAAAGTACGAGGGCCTAATCGACTTTTTCAGCATAGTACGAGGCTTATTTGATAGTTTTCCCTTTTTATCTTCATTTTGTTACACTATTCACTATTTGGGTAGGCCCGATGTTGTTTCGGATGGATCAAAAACTCATTTGGCGAGAAACAAATTAGTTCGAAGTTTAAGATGAAAGGGTAAAAAGGATATTAAATTGTACGGAATACTACGTAAGAGATAGAGACTTTTACAGAAAGAAAGTTAAGACATAACAAGAATGCTAGATGACCTAAGATGTAAATGGTTTTAACATCAATTTATGGAACTATGACTTTATGAGTTTTTCCCAAACCAGTGAACCAAACATGAACATCAAACATTTCTTACATTATACTTCGTATTCCGGTATATATGTCATGAGATCACCCGAAATGGCCCCGAACCAAATGGGCCCAAAGAGTCCTCATGAAAATAATGTGTAATATGAGTAACTTGCTCTTATGAAGAGCAAAAAACATATGTGCTCTCATTTGTGCATTTTCCTATTGTATTAGACTATTATGATGTTTTCTTTTGGACTGAAATTTGATGATCTGGCCCGATCTGGTTGGTCTGGTCTGAAGTGGTCTGGTCTGGTAAACGTCTGGTCTCTGTGTACTTCATAACTACGGAAGTCTGGTCTGATCTGGTCTGGTCTGGTCTGATCTGGTCTGGTCTGGTCTGGTCTGGTCTGGTCTAGTCTGGTCTGGGACTGAAAACATTCCAAAAGAAAACATCCTTAGTCCGGTAGTCCCACATAGGGCAATTTTTTTATATTATAATTTTCAAATTTTCAATCAGTGTCAACAATTAAAGCTACCCTATTTAATAAATAAAAAATCACACTGAGTGACATTAAAACCGAATACAAACGTAATTAAAACTTTTATAGAACATCAGAAATTAAAAAAATTACAATAATTGGAAGCATGAACGAACATCTTATTATGTGGAGGGAATTATAGTAACAATTTGTGTGTGTTTAATTAATGGTGACAACTTCGATACCTTTCTAAAAACAGAGGTACCGTACCTACCATTCATTTGATTGGACCACATCACTTTATCAATTTTAATTTAGATTTAAATAATTCAACTGCTACCTTTTCATTGGTCTATGTGGACAAAGGTACAGTATCTTATGAGTACCATAGAAACTACCTTAATTAATAACTACGATAATTAATAACTACGAGTAGTTTTTACTACTAGCGCGCTGCACGATTGGATCAACGCCAAGTACTTTTTATGTTATACAAACAAATTTATTGTTCACTGTTAAGTAATCAGATAAAAAAAAAGTTGTCGAAAACTTCTTTTGAATTTAGACAATTAAACCAAAGTGGGTTTGAGATTGGCATACTTTGTGACATCTCAAAGGCTAAAGCGGTGCGTACGTAGTGGGAAATTTGGTCGGAGGCGGTGCCGAAAGGCCTCGATTGGTGGGAGGACATTCAAAACTTGTACGGAGTATTTCAAATCACGGTTGATTATAAATATAATGTTAAATTATAAAAAAATTAATTAAACTTATTTTAGTCTTAGAAAGACTTCAACATATTTCGAGTGTTGTAAATATATAGAGACCGGACAGACTTCTACGAGATTAGAGCAAATTAAATTTAATGAGATTAGCTCATATCATATCAAACTATATCAAAAAAATTTCGTCCAATTAAAAATATCCGACAAATTCAATTGCCTTTTTGTTTTCAAATATTTAAAAGTATCGGCCTGCAAAATACCTTATGCTCTGATGACATCACTATGAAACGTCAAAAAAGAAAGTCACATGCTCGAATCTCATCACAATTCAAAAATGTTGGTCTTAACATAACACATACAGAGTACTATTTGGAATGACGTCGTGCCAAAAGTATGTTATGATCTGTGTTACTCTGTTGGGAAAATGTGTTAAAAAGTTGCATTATTGATCAATTCAGGGCAATTTTTCGAGTGAGGTTCACTTTCGATTTGGATCGGGTCAAAGTGGTTTCGGATTCCCATAGTTAAGTACTACAATTCGATATATGATACACTCAAAACGGATAGCGGGTGAATGAGAAATTGATTTTCACGAAGTTCACTCATTGAAATGGAAAAAATTGGAAAAATGATGAGTTTCTAGTGTGATATTTTTCACACCGGAAAATCCAAAGAATTTTTACCCTCTTATAAAGGGAACTCTCTTTGAAGGAGTTAAGATTCTTAAGTAGGGGAGACTCTATTCTATTTTTTCTTTGCCTTTTTTAATTAATTATTTATCTTTGTTTTTCGAGAACACAACCCAAAAAACTCGACCATTCTGTGTCCAAACTGTTTTTTGTAGTGATTATACGGTGCGGAAGTGGACTTGCATGTGCTTAAGTTTCATAATATAAATATTATTAATGAGGTCTAACAAGTAATAAATAGCTTAATAAAAAATAAAACGTTAGAATAAATGTTTGTTAATGTTAAGTATAAATGTGAATATTAGTCCATGTATCTTGACGATGGCCTGATATAATAGTGACTATATTGGAACCACTAAACTATATATAAATCATCGAATTCGATCTTGTCATAAGTGTGACCTAAAATTAAACTTGTTTCAAACACATATACAAGTACGGAGTATAACTTAGCTGGTCTTTAATTACTGTAGCCTAGAATTTGTTTCAATTAGATCACAGGCTTGATAAACTAATTAGTAATTTATATAGACAATTCAATAAGTTGGTAACATGCCAAATTCAAGGAGTTGGAGGGTATATACTTCATCGGGCGCTTCATATATATATATATGATCAATTGCTTCTTTTATACTCCCTCCGTCCCATAATAGTTGTCCACTTTCAATTTGGCACGATTATTAATAAAGTGGTTGAAAAGTAAAAGTTGTGGTTGAGATTTGAGTAGAATAAAGTGAATTAATAAGAATCACATATTTCATGCCAAAAAAGGAAATAAGACATTCATTTGGGGACAACCCAAAAAGGAAAGTAGGATAACCAAAATGGGACGGAGGGAGTACTCCGTAAGTATGTACGTACTTCTCATCCATAAATATGTACTTAATTGAATTAAATTAGTTCAGATCAGAGAGTATAATATAACCTCCGTTTTGTTAACCTCTTATTTATTCCCTTTTTTTTGGAAAACCTCTTATTTATTCCTAGTAATAAAATTAATTTAATGACAGGAACATAGCAAACCATAGGGTAAATATCAGCATAACGGTGTGAAAATACACTACTATCCTGAAGTAATTAAACTAGACAGTAGTTCTTTGTTATGGACTAGGCAATAGTTAAAGAGGGGAAATATATATTGTTTTTCAGTTTAGTCTTACTTTTTCCCTCAACTATGGTTAGTCTTTATTTTGAGAAAATAAAGTCACATTTTATTCAAAACATCATCGTTCAAAGCATGAACAATACAATCAGGAGTAAAATTCACCCAAACTCGACATATATTATGGTTAGTCTTACCTCTGATCTATATCCATGTTTAATTTGTTACCGTTTATCCATGCCGCCTCCCACGGCTCTAACATTTTATATCGAGTCAACAACAAGCCCCATGCATGTCATGTTCATGGGCGGAGGTAAGGGATCATTCTAAGCCCCGTCATACTCCAAATTTAAAAAATGTTTAAATATTAGTGTAATTTTTTTTTTATGTCAATCTTTTCTTGAAAAAATCTTTGTAAATCACATGCCAATACTAATTAAGATACCCTAACATTTAACTTGTTTACCCAACACAACATTGCTAAGGTAACATCAAGACTAAGGATGTTTTCTTTTGGACTGAAATTTGTTGGTCTGGTCTTGTCTGAACTGATCTAGTCTGGTCTGGTAAACGTCTGGTCTCTATGTATTTTATAACTACGGAAGTCTGGTCTGGTCTGATCTGGTCTGGTCTGGGACTGAAAACAGTCCAACAGAAAACATCCTAATTAATCTTCTGTCTAAGTCTCTTCCATTTTCTCTATTTAATTACACATTTGTATGTAATATACAAGCTAGTTTCCAAAACATTTTAGCGGTCAGGAGAAAGAGAAGGGCTGATAATAAGTATTATACATTATACTTCTCTTAATTGGTATGCTTTCATTTCCTTGACAGTTTGTTGTCCTTCCAAAGCTCTCCGACGTCTAGGTCACCGGTCATCAACCTGGCCGGAGAGCATTCAATTCTCACATCCAAATTTTGAAGCACAATATGTAATATTTTCTTTTCCCAATAATCTATCTCTTTTTTTGCTTTTCTGGGATTAAAAAGTTCATTTTTGGAACATATAGTTTGTGCTTTCATTTCAAAGATGGGTGAGAAAGGTGAAAGCTTTAGATGGGCATTGATGAGGTCAAACCCCATGGTTCATTTGTGGTTTAAGCTCTTGTTGCTTCTTGGGGCTTCTCTAGCAATATTGATTGCATGGGGAGCAAATGGTATCAAATTTAATGTCTCAAGTTTACCATTTATGCAAACCCTTACAAATTTCGGTTTTGCTTCTTTTCCTGATTTCACCAATAATGGAGATAGCAATGGGTGGATTTTTGTTGGATCACAATCAAATTATACATCAAAGCTTTTGGAAGGTTGGTTGGCCCCAGGGGGAGACGCGTGTAAGGAGTCGAAAACCGTTGACATCACGATTCCAAGTCTGGACGGTCACGATAGCGTTGAGCTGTCCACCGGTGACATTCACCACTTTATCTTCCGGTCATTGGATGATTCAGGGAAACCACATTGTTTAGGAGGCGATTACTTCGAAATTGATCTTTCCGGCGAGAAATGGAAATCCCGGCCACCCATAAACGACTTTGGAAACGGTACATACGAATTCTCCCTCCAAATCCACCCCGATTTCGCGGGGAGTTACAATATCACCATTACCCTATTATTTCGCCATTACGAAGGGTTGAAATATTCCCCACAAAAGTTCGCATTTGACAAAACCCTTCGTGTGGTCCCCCTCAAATTTGAAAAATCGGTAACCAAATTACCCGAAATACCCTTGTGTAGCACCAAGTCTGATTTTAGTAGAGACGTTTGGTCGGGCAGGTGGACCCGACACGCTATAAACGAGAGCTGCCCGATCCGCGACGACGGTCGGTTTATATGCCAAGATCCGAATTTCCCTTGTTTGGACCCGTGGTGCCACGGGCCCCTCGGGTTGTTGGAGAGTAATGGGTGGGTATATTCTTCGCATTGCTCATTCAAGATTTTTTCAATCGAAGAGGCGTGGGATTTGTTGAGTCACCGTTGGATCTTCTGGTGGGGCGATTCGAACCATTGCGATACGATCCGCAATATCCTTCACTTCATGCTTGATGTTAAGGACATTAACGCCGTTCCGAGAAGGTTTGACGGTAACATCACCAACCCTAAAAACCCATCCCAAACCCTCAGATTCACAAGCATTTTCAACGGTCACCCGAACGACACGGGGAACTACCAAGGTTTGAATTCTCTATCAAATTCAGACTATAGACAGTTACTAGATGGGTATTTTTCGGGTCAAGTTGTTCCGGACACCATAATCATGAATTCGGGTTTGCACGACGGAATTTATTGGCCAAGTATTAGGGCTTTTGTCAAGGGCGCAGACTATGCGGCGGCGTTTTGGTCAAGGGTGATCGAAGGGGTGAAGAAGAGAGGGGTGTTGCCGCCGCGAGTTATATATAGGACCACGGTGGCGACCGGCGGCTACGCGAGGGCGTTGGCTTATAATCCACAAAAAATGGAAGCATTCAATGGGGTGGTTTTGGATAAGATGAGGTCATATAATGCCTTGGATATGGTTGTGGATGATTTTGACATGACATATCCATGGCATTACGATAACCGGTGCAATGATGGGGTCCACTACGGCCGAGCTCCGGCGAAGCTTGTATGGAGGGACGGCCAGATCGGGCACGAGTACTTTGTGGACCTCATGTTAGGTCATGTGTTGCTTAATGCTATAGCTGCAAGCTAAGTTAGATAATGTTAGGTGACTGGATGGCAAAACATTGCATGCTGGGTTCAATTCATTAGTTAATTAGGAGATTTCTTGCTTTTATTTTTATTTTTTTTATTTTCCTTTGTTTGTTATACAATAATTTTTTTAGTGATCACACCATGTATAGGACAGCTTAGTATAGCTTGGATAGCTAGATGTATTATGGAGTATACTATTGACTATCGTTTGTTGAAGACCATGGGATTCAGGTGAATATATTTTAATTACCTATCTAGTACTGAAATATATTTTATTGAAAAAATGCGAATAAATTTATTGAAAAAATGCGAATAAAATTGAACATAATCATAGATATATAACTAAAGTCACCATCTTAACTAATGAAGTATAAATATCACATTTTTATTACCTACTTTTATTTTAGTTACATATTCTTAATTTTCCTTTTTATTATTTATTATATTAGGTAAGTTTATATTTTAATCTCTAGAAGACACAATCTTTCTTAGAATTTTTCTTTTATATTTTTGACTTTTTTTTCATCTTTTTATCTTCTTTCTCACGTTCTTACTTTCCTCGAAGTAATTGCTATTTAATAGAGTCAAGTTACCTCCTAATATACTTTTGTATATCAATATTACATGTATAGGTCATCGCATGGGAGTCACGAATTACTAAAAAAATTACTATATTAAATATAAAGCTAATATCACACATACAAAAAACCACAACAAGCCATAAACGATACAATGGTGAGTAGATTTATAGATGTAAAACTAAACTATGAGATAAAAAAGAAAAAGGGTGTGTTTGGAACGAAAGCAAAATTGAAAATTGGGCAAAAAGTATCATAACTTTATTACAAGAAAGAACTATTCACGATTGAAATATAGTTAGTTATTTAATTTGTATTAGTTATTTGTATTACATGCTATGACTTAATGTGTGATTTTAAAATATAATTTGTAATATTTCATTTTTCTTGAAAATTTAATATATGGATCGAGATGTTTTGTTGTGCACAATATACTAAAGTGAATCAATTTTATGATTGATATACATACATCTATTTCAAGGTTTTTGAAACAAGCATCAACATACACATATCAGAAATTATACCTATAATGTGTGAAATATATATGTCTATAATTATATCAAAGTAAAACATATCTAATGTTGTTGATAAAAAGGCACCAAATATATGGTTTATACTATACACACGCATATATACCAGGTAGTTGATGCGCACACACATACTGGATACTTATTGTTGTATATGTATAAACGAATATATTCAATTATTATTCAAATGAACTACATAATTATTTGTATTCATACTTGAAAGACGTTCGAACCGAAAATCTGATTTGTATTCGTATTCATATTTTTGAAACTCATAGTTTTTGAATCCAAATCACAAATCGAATCAAAATTATTTGCTTCGTTTACAATCCTTACTTCGTATGATACTATCATTACCTTTTAAAAGTTATTATAGTGTTACTATCATCATCATCGTCATTATTGCTATTGCTATTGCTATTGCTATTGCTATTGCTATTGCTATCTTACTAATAAAGTTCAACCTTGAAATTGAAATTGATTTCTCAAGTATTTGCTATTGAGTACAATTATGAATTTTAAAATTGCTATTGAGTCCAATTAATTCAGGCCATATTTGAAAGTAATAGAATCTTAAGGCATGTAATGTAAATTATCTAACTCAGGCTATTAATTACAATTTGCTATTATACTTACGTAGGAAAACAAAGGAGTAAAGGAAGATTATCCTTTCCTTTTTAATTATTGTTTGAATATTCTACCAACAAAAATTAATGAAATTAATAAATTAAAAAAAAAAGAGTAAGACAATTAATGCATTCATACGTTTCTTTCAATAAAAGAAGGGAAGACAGAAAAATTTAACAAACGTGTGTATAGAAATTAGTACGGATACAAACGAGTTCATTTTATATACTTCCTCCGTTATTTTTAAATGCAACGGTCCATTTTTCGTGTTTGCCAACGCACAAGTTTGACCAGTCATATCTTTCATTCCTTATTAGAAAAAAATTAAAAAAATAGATTTTGAAAATTTGAAATGATAAGGATTTAAAAATATTTTTGTTTAAATTTAATTTATAATACATTCATAAATAAAATAGAGTCAAAGTAGAACACGTGAATAGTTGAAAAAGTCCAATGTTGCATTTAAAAAAGAACGGGGGAAGCATTTGATAAAGAAAATTATGAACGTGTTCAGGATTCAGTACTGAATTTTATATATTTTTTTCAATATATAAAATCATTCCTTTCAGTACTTAATTTGAATGAAAGAAACGTGTTCAGGATTTATGGATTCAAATTTCTTTCAATAATGAAATCAACTTCATATCATACTTATTGTCTTTCCATATGTATATGGGGTTACATTTCAGGAAAGTCACTACAAGAAAATAGGGGTTTTAGCCACACATGTAAATGTAAGTAAAAATATAATTATGTGTGGGAAATTCGTTTTACCCACACATATGATAAGTGTAACGTTGTGTGGGTAAAAGAGCGTAGGCAAAAGTTATTACCCACACGTGCAATTATGTGTGGGTAGTTATGCAATATTTACCAACACATGTATGTGCAAGTAATATTATACTATATGTGTTGCTATTGATCCGAACAGTGACATGGCATTCCACATGAATGTTGACATGGCTGATGAGTTGGCATGTGACGTGGCATATGGACGATGACGTACACAATGATGTGGCACATGAGTCAACCGTTTTTCATAATAAGCACTACCACGTCGAAGTGATAATGTGTGACTAAAAATTACAAGTATGTGTAGCTATTAGTCATTATGTATTAATAAATCAAAATTTTAATTTCAAATTAAATATGTACGTACTATTAAATAATCCATGTACAGAACTACTCCATATGATAAATTGCACAATAACAAAACATTATATAACAATTACTTATAAAAAAACATCCTCAAATTTATAATACATACAAAAAAATATAATTCTAATATCTACTCTTTAATTCTAATTCAAAACAATGACATATACTTCAAGCGAAGTACAACTCAAACAATCAGAGATCTTATCCAATGCTACAATAAAAATGTGTATTACATCTATGCCAGTGCACTATTACTCCATAGAAGATGAATTGATAAGTTGAGTCCTCATAACCATCATAATTCAGTTATCCATTCATAGAACATGAGCCACAATTCAATTCTTGATCCATAAAAGATGAACCACAATTGAGCGTTAGGAGAACAATAATCTGAAAGACATTCAAATATTTCACATTAGATCATAAAACAGTATTAGGGATTTTTTGTTCATTAAACAAAAAATACCCATAGTAGATTCGGATATGATCTGAATATGTTATTCAATGCTTTTCATTATTCATACAAAATACAACAATGCTAAATTCCTAAGAAAAGCTGCATAATTTTGGGAATAGAAAAAAGAGGTGAGCATTTTTTGGTAATACCTATCTTAGTTCATTAAAAGAAAAATACCTATGTTAGCATCTGGAAGATGTCCTTTCTTTGAAACATCATAGTCCTACAATAAATGAGCATAAGCAGTTTAGAAGTAAGATATAAAATGACAATGTCAAATAAGTGCTCAAATTTATGTCCAGGTTTAATGGCTAATCAAATTTACATACTTCAGTACTACAAAAGCAATCTATGGAGGAGTCGCCAGTGATCTCAACTGCAACATAATCAGCAAATTAACACCCACATTGCATTTTACAAATAAGATAGTTCAATTGCTAGAAAGCATATAGACTCACAAAAAAATTACCTTCAAGTTTGCATAATTTTATATAAGCATTTTCCAAGATCGAAGAGATCCCACTAAAAATGGAAGTAATTAAATCACTTAAAGAATAACATAAAATGACATACTGAAAGTTGGCAAGAATGTACCTGATTGACTTGATCAAGTTTGCTGATAATATTCAAACGGGCACCAAGAAACTCATCCTTTGCAAGAGAAAGAAATATTGGGAGAAGTTGCTCAATTGTTGCATCCTAAAATGACGAGTATAAACAGTCTTGGACAACTTAAAGAGTATAAAAACTTGTAATAAATAGTTACAACTAAAAAATAAACATCTCACAAGTCCATATTAATGAAAAAAGCCTACTGCTTACTTTAAGAGTTTTAGTAAAAGTCTAAACGATATATCGGTTTAGTCACTGTTCATTTACTCATTGAGCATTAATACTTAATACTTAAGTCTATCTATATTAAGAAATCTAAACAAAATAATAAATTACTTAAAAATTAAGAAAACAATTACAAATTTACAATAAAGTATAACACTGATCTAACATACTTGCAAATTTACTCTATGTCTAATGTCTCTATTACGGTGGTTTGTCTACTGTCTACTTTTTACACGGATATACAACTAATTAACACAAGACCACAAGTAATTGAACAAATTATAAAAAATAAAACAATGAGGCCCAAAATTTAATAAAGCAATTAAAAACAACTTGTCGAGGCAGCAACTCGCAGGAGACGAATAGCAAAGGCACATTCCTCAATCCTCAAGCAGTGTTTTTTTTTTCAAATCCTCAATCCAATAATCGCCAATCGGTCCAATTGTTCCAAGACTTCTGTCGTTATCGCTTCAAATTTTCAACAATTCAGCTCTATAACCTAATAGTTGAAAAACAATTATGATATTTGACTCGCTGAACTCTACTTTTTACTAATACATATTACTCGGTCGTATATTACATAGAGCCTCTTTCTGAAAAAGAGAGAGATACGCCACTTAATAAAAAAATCTTCATACCTCTTATAGAAATTAGGGCATACCAGCCAAGAACGAAAACCTAGATGTCTTCCCTATGTCATATGTAGGATGAGATTTGCCATTGTTTCAGGGACTAAGGCTTGAATACGAAACATCAAGTGATGGATTAACATTCGAAAAACCAAAATTTTGAAAAATGCACGAAGAGAGGATTAATCGTAACTCACGGAACCTTGATTGAGATTTAGATTATTATCGAACTATACATAAGAACGCCTTCATAGGGCCGATAACAATAACATACTATGTATTTCCTAAGCGAAAAAATGATAGGCACTCGAACTAGATACAAAGAGGGAACAACCACATTAGGAAAAACTGCGTACCTCTTCTACAACAAAGAATTGCAGCGCCTTCCCTTCCCAGTACAGAGTATTTCAGCGACTTCCCTTCCCAGTACAAAGTATTTCAGCG